TCCTTCGCTTCGAGAGGCGCCGAGGACCGGCTTGAGCGTTGCCATGGCATCGCGACGTCACTATCTACGCCACCTCCCATTGGCTCCTCTCTTCTGCGGCGTGCGGCGTCAAGCTCTGAACCGCGCACGGAGCGGTTGGGTGTGCGGCGCCGCACGTCGTGACGTTGAAGCCGAAAACTGGTTTCCGCCGGCAACCGGCAGCGACGACCGTCGCGCCGCAGGCCTCCGAAACGCCAATGTGGTCGCGCCTTTAGGCAGCTGGGTGACGTTTTCCGTTGCCACCTCCGCAGCTCTTGCGATTCCGAGCGCCTCATTCAGGTCCAAGGTCTTCGGCTTAGCCAGTAGCACTTTCTTGACAGTTTTGTCGCGCAGTCCGATGACGAAGCGATCGCGGAGGTTCCGCTCGAGCGCAGCGCCGAAGTTGCAGTCGTCTGCGATCTTCCGGAGCTCGGCGACATAGTCTGCCACCTTTTCGTTCGGCCCTTGAACCCGTGTTTGAAAACGGTAGGTCTGGTAGATCTCCGAGGGCTCCGGGTTAAGGTGCTGTGCCAAGACCTTGAGAATTTCATCGTAGGCCTCGTCCATGGGCTTTTTAGGCGCCAAAAGGCTTCGCAGACGCGCGTAAGTTTCGGGTCCCACCGACGTGATCAAAATTGAACGTTTCCTGTTACTGTCCACGATGGCGTTTGCTTCGAAGAATGCTTCGAGCCTTTCGGCGTAATTGGTCCAGGATTCGACGCTTGCGTCGAAAGCAGCAAGTGTTCCAAATGTCGGCCCCGGCGTTGGTTGCGACATGGTGTGCTTGGAGCTGAACTGGCTGGACGCTCACCGTTTTCCGGGTAGTAGTAACTTGCTCGGTCGGCCGCCACGGGTGAGTTCGTTCTCGTCGCCAGTATTGCGTCGGTGGGGGAAAAACGTTCTTGTCACATATTGTTTATTAAGCGGTTAGGTTACATGTTGAAACCATTGAAACCTCATGGCGGTTGCATGAGCAAGAAGAAGAAGTAATGGCGCGACGTGCGCGCGGGAAGTTCACCGGAAGACGCTGGCCCCCTGGTGGCGAAATACAGATATGCAGCACGCCCCTTGCGAGCAAATTTGAATATTTTTAGGTCATCTTTTGAAAGGTGCTATGAAAGACACCATAAACAAAGCAACTGAAAGGAATGCATTCTTGGCATTCCAATAGGATGCTAAAGCCACAGGCTTTACATTTTTTGTTATTATTTTTTTATTTTCAAGTTCACGTCTTGTAGAAGCGCTTGCGTCCCCTGGCTGAATGCAACAGGTCTGTGACTAGCTGCAGAGTCTTGCCAAATGTTGGATTGGAGCACTGACCATTATCAACCTACAAGTCTCAGCAAGTGCAGCTTGCTTGCTGTTCCCTCTTGCCAGATGACTGCTCCTGTACGACATGGCCCAACCCTTTGCAGACTGTCTATTGTAGACAGTGTACTGTACTTGTCCACTATGGACCCTTTTCATAACTACATCAAGCAACACTGGCAATTGCAATTAATTGGGCACAATCTGTGTGATTGGATTCGAGTCCTCGCCAGATGCTGACGTGGCACTAATTCTCATTACGAGCTCGGCCACCAATTGTCCACGGTCTATTGGACGCAGCACTCACGTGCAATGCACCCTTTTCTTTGAAAACGCCACGAGGTGGTGCTGACGTCCCAGTGAACTTCCAGTTTACAAAAAGAATAAACGAAGCCCACCTTAACACCACCGTTTGAAATGTCGACAAAACATTTAACTAGCAATTCTCCAGGCAAATGCCAAAAGAAGCAAGAAGTGCAAGATCTGTTCGAATTTTTCTAGTATTCTTGTAAACCAACTTGTCTCCTCTAAGACTTTGAATCATACAGCTGAAGGCCCTCGCTAAATCTCCAACTTTGTTGTCTGTGTAGCATTTATGCTTTCTAACACTTGTGACATACCATAATATCCCAAGACATGCCCCACCCCCAAAAGATAACTTACCCTATTTTTGGCACGATTTGATATTTTTTTCAAAAACACCGAAAGATAGCCCACTTCTAGTAATTGCAGGGCACCGGCCAACAGTGACTTCGGCAAAAGTTGCGTTACTTAGCCACGGCGGGAGATAAGCGAACATCGCTGATTCCGAAATAAGCTAACATTGCTGGTTCATCGTCCCTCCCTGCAATCGTAAGTTTCGCAGGTCACAAAATTTAAAACTAGCATTTTTTTCAACCTTTTTTTGATCTCGCACCGAAAGTTAGCCCACTCCTGACTTTCAATTTTAGGTGGTCCATCTCTTGTTATACAACGGTAAGCAGCTAGGGGAAACGGTGGCCGAGCGGGCTGGCGCACACCAACTCGGAGCACGTGGAGCGAAAGCTCGCGCTGCAGAACCCAAGGATCCTGGGTTCAATCCCCACCCCTGCCCATTTCGATCTAGATGAGTGTCATACCGGTGTACGGTCGTGTATCACTACTGTGTGATGCACGTTAAAGACCCCAGGCTAGGGGTGTACTGCACTGGTTAAATTGCTCATCTACAGCCAGGAGACAAGTCGCCTGTTGAGGCAGACTAAGTTCTAGGCTGTATAAACATATACACACCCCAATTTTTTTTTTTTTTTTATGGTAAGCAGTTTGACAGGTTTGCAAGAACAGAGCGACCGGAAGTCGTTTGGAAAGCAAGCAGCAGTTCCTGTTTGTAAACAGTAAAAGGGTCTATACACGGTCGGAGAGCGCGCCTGAACAATGGCCGACTCGGATAGTAGTTGGCACACCAGCTACCAGACGGCACATACTTTAGAAAGTGGTCCAGCTTCTTTCTACTAAATATCAGACTTCGCACAGGTGTCCACGGCCAAGCCCCACGGCATTTCTCACCTATCGTAACACACCACGGAAGTGCCCACTTCGCTCAAGCGCCCACTATTAACATTTCCCAAACTTGGGAATCGTGCCAATCATACGTCAGGCGCCCGATTTCACCGGGCAGGCACCCATGTCCAGATTAACCCAGTTTTTAGTGTAAGTGGGGGTGGGCGCTTCTCGATATTTTCGGTGGGTGATGAACACCGTAATAACTCTGGACATGCCCCAGCCTCGAAGGACAACCTGCCCCCTATTTTAACTTAATTTGTTATTTTATCTTAAACACCGAAAGATGACCCACTTCTATGGTCAGTTGCAACTCAAGAAGGTAGGCGAGGAGGAAGCAGACGGAACGCTGGAGAAGAGATGGGGAAACCCCCTCTCTTCTGCGTTTTGTCTGCTTCCCTCCCTGGCCTGTTTTACCCTTGCCCTACCCTCTTGAGTTGCAACGGACTATAGTAATCCTAGTGTTCGGATCAACGTTGGCCTTGGCGTAAATGCAGCCAGTTGGCTAAGGTGGGATATAAGCAAACGTTGCCGACTGGGAAGCACAGTCATCTTCGCTTCGTTGCCCCTCGCTGCGATAACAAGTTTGGCAGGAACGCAGTACCTAATAGCATTTTTTTTTTCAACTTTTCTCAACTGCACGCCGAAAGTTGGCCTACTACTAATTTTCACCTGATTTGCTCTTGACTTTAGGTGGGCTATCTCTCAGTATAGTACGATACAAATTTTAAACTGCAATAATCGAAAATATGCAGATGAGTCTTCGATCGAATAAAAAATTGTACGAAGCCGCCGAAAGGTAAAATCCACCAAAGATTTCATCTTGTGGCGGCTTCATAATTTTGTTTCATTCAATCGAGTACAGTTCATTCATCCGAATATTTTATATTATTTTCTTTTTGGAGACCATGTACGATTGTCAAAGTGCCCGCGATACTTTTACACTGCAGACTGCTTCAGCGAGTTGAATTCCAGTGTTTCGCACGTGGGTTCGGAAGTTACTGCACTGGTGAACACACTCAAGAGCTAGGGATCTATGCTATGTTTCAGCTTAACTCCAGACACAGACGATGTTACGAGGTGATGGGACCAATCAAGCAGCGTCAAAAGCTAAAGTCACTGAGACTTTTTTGTCTATGATTGGTTCGCCGACAATAGAACACATAGGGAAACGAGCAACATGACGGTGCATTTTTTACTCTGTCCGATTGATTGGATCAGATTGTAGTATCGGCTACATCTGGACATAAGCTGAAGCGTAGTATAGTTTGTTGCAGGTTAGGAATAGCGGGACAAACTCCACCCGGAAAGCTCCCTGTTCGCCACAATTGGTGATTTCCTCCCTTCCAGCATTCGCTCTGCTGAAGTGAAATAAGTGGATGGCTTTGCATGGGGAGAGGTTGTCCCGTTTACGCGCCAGTGTACTAAAATTTAGGGAGGCAGAAGTCCTAGCCAACTTTGTGAATAAAGAGTACCGGGGTCTGTCCAGACAGTATGCGATTCACTTTGGCTTTTGTCATGCACGCGTTGGACAGAAGCGTTTACGTTTCCTTCCACTTCTGGGGGGCTATGTTCGACAAATGTTTCGTTTCTCCTAAAAAGAAACGGAAGTGACTATATCGCGTCTGATTGGCTAGAGGCTCAAATGACGTAAGAGGGAACTTTCGTCATTGGAGCCTCTAGCCGATCAGACGCGATATCATCCCTTACGTCACTTCTGTCTTTTTAGGAGAAACGAAACATTTGTCGAACATAGCCTCCCTGGTCCGCTTTGAACCGATTTTTGTAGAGGGGGAAAGTGATGAAGTCAAAGTGTTTTGGTCTCAGTACGCAGTCACTTAGCCGACTTAGCCCCGGTCAGTTCCGAACCTTCCAAAAACGAGAAGGGAGATTGAGGAGGAAAGTCGTTCCGTCCTGCGCCCGGTTCATGTCCTCGCTGAAATCGTACGCGCGCGCCGAAACGAACTTGACTTTTAAAAATCGTACAAGGTTTCTTTTTTGCCGTGTAGACAGCCAAATCTACTACCGATATGGCGGCGCCAACCGCCACATCGACAGTTTGGCCGCGATTCGCATCGAACGGATTAGGGATAAGACAAAAACGGCGACTGCAAGCTTACCCCCTTTTTTTTTTCTTTATTGGGAACAGTTGAGAATAACGAAGGTAGCAGGCTTGTGCCGCTAGGGTCGAGCCAGAGTGCCCCCGACCTAGCCAATGAAGTTGATGACGACGAGATGCAAGACGACGTGTGCGAAGATAAAGTCGGCGTACGCCCGTTCCGAGCTGATGCCGAAGAACTGTCCCTTGTTCAGCGGGTTGGCCTGGAGGCGCAGGCAGACGCCCAGCACGAAGGACGCCACGCAGGTGATGAAGCCCGACAGGAACGAGTTGAACGGGAACGTGCCGGCGATGCAGCAGTACACGAACTGCACCACTCCCGTGAGAAGCACGTACAGCAGGTACGCGTCGATGATCTTCATCTTCTTGGGCGTGCTCGTGGTGTACTCCTCCGAGAAGCGCTTCACCACGTCCCAGAAGCTCGTAGAACCCATTTTTTGGTTTCGTTTACGCTGGCGGGTTCTTTCCTAAGCTTGTGCCGCTCGTACGGTGGGCGATGTGCCGGCTTCTTTTGCAGCGTTGGACACGACGACGCTGATGAGGCTTGGATCGGATTGGCTTCCCAGGTGGCTTGGAAGTTTACTAAAAACACTTCGCAATCACAATCAACAAGTTGAGAAATCAACATTGGTGCGTTTTCCCGCAAGTAATATAAAAATTAAAAACCAAAAATAAATAAATAAATAACTTTACAAACTTTGAATTTTTACAATATGTGGAGAAGGGAGACGGTGCAGTTTGCTTTTGTGCTAGGTAGCGCAAGCTTCCGCCCAATTTTATTTGTCTATTCCTTTATGCAAAACAAAACCGAAAACCGAAAAAAGACACAGCAAGATGGCGGCAACGGGTGTGCTGCCTTTCGTTCGGGGCATCGATCTAACCCGCAATGACTTCCAGGTGAGACAGCTCTTGACCTCTCGGTAGTTCTTGAGAGTTTCTCCAACAGTCATCGGAACAGCCCGAGTGACAGGGTGGGGATCCGAGCTAACGCCCCGCAGTTCGCCCCCAACCGTCGCACCGCCAGCTCCTAAACTCGTCTCGGGGTTCGCCCGAGGAAGCCGACAAATAAATGGACAGCCTTCCCTGCTTAATCGGATGGGTGACAAAAACCGAATCATGAAAACTCCGACCCACCTGGCAGAGAGCAGAGCAAGGGTGGGCGCAAACTACCTGGATAGAACTTCGATAGCGATCAAATGAGCGATTGCACTGACAGGGATTTATACCCCCTCCCTCCCCCCCACACACGCACAAACACACACACACTCAGAGAGGCTGACAACCCACTCCCCCCCCCCCCCCCCCCCCCCCAAATATACGCGCCTCACACCCTCACCTCCCTTACACAAAGTTTGACCCGCCTCCCCTTTTCCTCCCCTTCCAATTTGTCTCCATCTGAGAAAAAAAATTTTATTTTCCTTTTTATTCCAGGGGAGTAATGTCTTCATACTTTCTAATAACGAGTCCACCACCTTCGGGCATCTCAGTAGTAAATAATAGCAAAACAAGTTGAGAAGCCAATTTATGTGGTCACTTCAAGAGACCAACAAAACATTGTGAGGAAAGAACCACAATCTCGAATCGAGGCTAGCGAGAAAATATAGCTTTGTGCATCTTGAAAACTCGAAACGTTCCTGACGGTGAGGCGCGCGGCAAAGCACTCTCGGTGCTAGTTAAAGACCAAGTTTCGGTTCCCATAGGCACCTTTGGCGGAGCTTCGGGTAGCGACCGAATGCACAGATACATACCCCGCCACTCGAATCCTGCCAGTGTGGGCTCAGTTTTAGGAAACCGTTTCAGAACCGGTGCAGCGTAATCAATATTTGGTTAGTGCAAGCCCGAAGGGTGTTTGGTTTGCCAGCAACTTGCTCTTTGTCACATCAGGTCGAGCCTCGCAGTCACTTGGTGTACGGGCTACGTGCCTTTCTGTGACGCCTGCGTTCATGAGGGCAAATAAATACTACTGCTACAAAAAAACGAGCCGTAACTTCCCTGCACATGCCCGTCACTTGCAAACGAAAATAAATCAATTGCGAACTATTGCCCTCTCTACTGCACAAAAACAACCGCAAACTCTTCTTCATGTATCTCCCGCCCAAATTTTATAAAACAACCGCAAACTCTTCTTCATGTATCTCCCGCCCAAATTTTATAAAACAACCGCAAACTCTTCTTCATGTATCTCCCGCCCAAATTTTATACTGATTGGAAATTAAGTATTTGAAAACCCTGAGATCGGCTGCAACGGAGATCACGCCGAATAGTCATAACAGCGGTCCGCCGCTTTTCGGTAACCCTTTTAGGCAAGCTTTATGGCTGCTGTTGAATGTTGGTAAAATACAACGAGCTTGAAAAATTATATTGGGAATGATCTTTCAGTGCGTGGAACTCGTGAATGGTTTCTCTGGAGCTCATGATAATTTTCTGATAATATCCCGGTAAAACACACAATTTCTCGCACTCGTGCTCGGGGATCACATCACAAGGAATGCATTCAAACGTCGTTCAGCCTAACGGACCATATAATAAAAAACAAAATACAAGGCAGTCACGCCTATGATCCCCACTATCTGACGATCCTTTGCGTTACGTGACGCCACGAGGTTGCTATGGATGTCAGCCATTGAGTCTTGCAAAATCAAGCGTGTAGTTTTGTACCTCCGCTTATGATAGGTTTTACGAATATTGGGATACCCTGAAAGGAAATGAACGTGAGACGTGAATGAGTGAGTGGCGTGCAGGCGCGACTCAAAGGGTACCCACCAGACTTGCTCTTCTTACACTGTCGCAGCTACCCACGCCAGCTTGCTCTCGTTCGCTGCTGCAGGCAAACCCCTCTGATCAAAAGAGCCCTAAGTGCATTGAACTTTAAGGGAAGCCACAAGAGGCTCTCTCTTTTGAAAGGCGCTTAAATAGGCTATCCCACAAACTCGTGCAACCTGGGGGGACTCTGTGGTTTTCTTATGATGGCAGTGTGAAGGTCATAATCCAGCATTATGCGTCCATTTGTATTGCACTGAAGCATATCTAAACGACGCTGGAGACTGTTTTTCTGGCGCTGGGAAACTTCTCCTCCTCTTCCGATAAAAAATGAGTCGTCTTTATCATTGTCTTGTTGTCGACTCTTCTAGCCCCACTTGCTCCATTGAGCAGGTGCTTACAGACTTCGACAGGGAATCTCACCGAAGCCACAACGCTAACCCGAACAGTCATGTCGTCAATTGGAGACATCAGTATTGAAAGTCTCCAGTTGGAGGCAGAAGAACTTGTGCAAGAAGCACAACGAAATGAAGTGCGAATGGAGGATGACGACAGTGCCAGCGGACAGCTCTCCAAAGACTGGCTTTATCGCACAAAGAAAAAGTTGTAACAGGGTGTCTAGCGACCGGGAAAACCGGGAATTGTCGGGGAAATTTTAATTACCGGGAAAAATCAGGGAAATTGTCAAAAAGCGAGCCCAGTCAGGGAAAATGAGCCGGAGACATCATCGAGGGCCCTGAGCAAAGACTTCAGGACTTGGGGGCAGAGATAGAGGCAATAAATACTGCTTAGAGTGAGGCGCGGGCTGTGCTCCCCTGATGTAGAGTGTGCTACCCGATGCAAAGAGAATCGACAAATCCAGTCGAAGCCATGGATTGGATTGGATTGAGGGTGTGACACTAAACTAGATCCAGTATAGAGCTACTAGATTTAGTAACGAATGGGAAAGCCGCAGACTCCAATCCAAGCCTTGAGCAGGGGTGTGACATCTGCGCCAATTGCGCCATTTTAATACAAACAGGAATTTCTGCACCTACTTGCGCCAAAAACGCGATATCGGTTTAAATTGCGCCACTTTGCGCCAAAGTAACTCAAAAACAAAAAAAAAAAGTTTGTGGCGACACTAGATTTAGCGGAAAACGAGAGCTTGGTTGGCAACATTCAATCTCCTCGTAGTAATGTAAACGGCGCGGGCTCAGGTTGGCGCAAGCAACCGCCGGATTCAAAGATTTCAGCTGTATTACCCTTTTCTACCTATGATACGTGGTCTTTTCCCGATTTTCCTACTATTTTCCGCTGTCATTTGTGACTGCATGCTACCGGTGTGCTGTCACGCGGTCTCGCTGTCTGGCCACGGGAGGTATGATGCACAGGCTATCAAGATGAGCAAGTATGTTTTTTTTAAATCAGAGTAAACCTTTTCTTAAAAGTGCTATTGAGCGCCTCCATTGTCAGGGTGTCTAGCGACCGGGAAAACCGGGAATTGTCAGAAAAATTTTAATTACCGGGAAAAATCAGGGAATTGTCCGGGATATTGTCAAAAAGCGAGCCCAGTCAGGACAAATGAGCAAGAAACGCCATCGAGCGCCCTGAGCAAAGACTTGAGGACTGGGGGCAGAAGATTAGGCAATACATTCTGCTTAGAGCGGAGCACATGCTCTGCTCACCGAGTGTAATGTGCTACCCGATGCAAAGGGAACAGCCGACAAATCCAGTCTAAGGCCTTGGATTGGATTGGATTAAGTGCACGACACAAGGTTAGATCCAATTAGAGCTACTAAATTTAGTAACAAATAGAAAAGCCACAGACCCCAATCTAATCCAAGCTTTAAGCCGAAAGTATCTGAAAGTACATCTGGCGGCCATGCTGCCATTCGGTTATTGACGTGTGTGGTTCAGCGTCGTGTTTTCATCATGTTTCGGGAAGTGGCCTCTTCATTGACTATGTCGGCGGCAAGAAAGTGCTCATTTAATCTGGACTGGAAGACATAAAGCCGTACCAAGTGTGCGCAAACTGCGATGCTTTCTGTTTCTTTGGGTTGCGCAGGAGGAATATTTCCCCAAGGCTGTGGGTGACATGACAGGCCTCAGATGGCTCAAGCTGAACAGGACCAATATCGACTGGATACCTGACGAACTTCAGAACCTAAAGAAACTGGTGAGTGCCAAAGTTGTAGCGTCACAAATAAAAAAGAGCGGCTGAATTTAGAACTAAAAGTGAATGTTTAATGGGGTAGACTTGCGCTAGCAACTTAAAGAGATAAAAGTACCGTGCATCCTGCGAGGCGACGAGAGGAGACTGACCCGGAGCATTGCACTACTGCTTCTTTTATACCCCTGCTGTGTTCAAGAAGGTTTCAAACAAGAACACGTGACTACAAACAGAAATAAACTAGAACTTTCCATGAGAGATAGCAAAAGAAAGAACTGGGCTGGTGGGGTTTGAACCCACTACCTTCTCGTGACAGCGACGTGCAAAGCCAACTCCGCTACACACGTGGCAGTAGAATGCATCAAGATCATCTGGTGGGCTGGTCGCTATAGCAGATTATGAATTAGATGGCGCAACACGGCAAGGAAAAGTAGAAGAGGAAGGCGGGACAGAGACAGGGCAACATAACGGCGGCTTGGGTGAGTTGGTTATCCATGTCTCAAAATAACAGCGCAAGTATGGAGTTACAAACACACGTCACCACAGCGCTGACTCGTGAGTTGTGAATCAGCGCTGTGTGGGTATTTTGTCTGCTGTGATTGTGTCACTAAGTGTAATTGTTTGTGTGGCCAGTGGTGATGTGTGTTCGTGTGCAACTCCATATTTGCGCTGTTATTTTGAGAGACGGGGCGTTGTTTAACAGATTATGGGAACATGCCCTAACACTGAAGTCGTCACCTTAAGGGGAGGGAAAGGATTGCAAATGCTCGCATCTGCTTAGCCACACCAAAATACTAAGGCTCTACGGTGATAAGAGAACTAGAGTGCTCTACGAGGCGCAAGTCATCATGTTTCGTGGTGTTGCCTGCGTCGGTGCGCCGTCCGTGGCTTTAACACAAAAAGAACCTTACTACAGTAGTCTTCTTTCTTGAAGTGCCTTAATCCTTTTGAATCTTTAGCTAATTCCTTTACGGATCATCTTCTTTCTTAATTTTTTTTTTTTTTCATAGTTACTGTCGGAAAAAATTATAACTTCGACTAAATTTATTTAAATTTTTCTATAGTGCATTAGGTAAAGCTGTGGAACTCTAGAGATTTTCTTCTATAATAGTGTAAAATGGACCAATCGCAGGCGTAGCTGAGGTTTGGGTTCCCTTTTTCTTTTTTTTTTATAGGTAGCAGTATATATATTAATTTTTTTCTTTTTCTTTCTGTAGCATTAAGCGTCAATTGATAGTAGTGCTCTGTCCTGTCTCCCTCTTCTACTCGTCAGTAGCATGCCTCTATTGTTGAGCTTCTGTGCCCGGTCGAGGCACACTTTCTGTTACATTTCCAGCAAGCCACACTGGATGGATTATCCATCTGCAAGAGGTAATCCTTTTTTGTTGGTTTGGGTGTTAACATAAATACGTTTTTTGGCTCGGGGATGATCCCGAAAGGAGACATAATGTTGCGGACAAGATGTAACTTTCTCCTCTCGCTAAATTTGGGGGGAAAGTTCCCCCATTCACTCGGTCAGTCGCCCTTCTAGTTCCCAGGATTGGAGCACCCAACTGAATGGTCCATTGGTACAAAAGGTGACAGCGTGTGGCTTTTGCAGGAGGTGCCCTGCCTTCCCCCGATCAATTAGTCAATCAAACGGTCATTCTTCTATTTATTGAGACGAGTACACTCTGGTCGATTAGTTCGAAAGGTCAGCCTTTGCAAGAGACACTGCCTTTCTCCAATCAGTCGGTCAATCAATTTATCATCATCATCATCATCATTCAATGTGAGAGCACTCTTCTGAAATGGTCCATTGATACCTATGGTGACCCCGCGGCCTTTGCTGGAGACGCCTTTCTTCAATCAGTGAATGATTCATTCATTCAATGTGGCAGCGCTCTCGTCTCGAACATTTCCGTCGCTACAAGCAACAACCCCCCCGCCCTCCACGTGCGCGGCTCTTTCTGCACATAGAGTAAATATAACGATTAAAGGGAAAGGTCCCACACGTTTTGACCATTTCGGAACGGCGGGACACAGATGCAAACATTGGCGGTCCGGACAAGACCGTATTGTTGGCGACATTTTGATATATACACGAAAAAGCAGGAAACCGTCACTTCCAAAGTCTGTGTATAGAGTCTTTCTAGTTCTATTTCTCACAAAAACATTGGCGTCGCGAGTCGTAAAATCTCAAAGAAGGTCAACGAGCACCCGAGCAACTTCATCTCGTCGGCGCGAAACGAACGTGCCTGACCCATCTTTTTTTCTCCGCTCCTCCTTCGCTCTCTTCTTCCATCTTTATCTCGAGATTGCGGATGTGGTGCTTACGGTTTGCCGTGCTCTGTGCCCCCGTGTCTGCAGGAAAGCCTCTCGCTGGTACGCAACAGCCTGGTGACGCTGCATGGGGAGGTGCCCACCCTGCCGTGCCTGCGCTCCCTCAACTGCCGCCACAACCGCCTCAAGAACTCGGGGGTGCCCCCGGAGATATTCGACCTCGAGGACCTCTCCGTCGTGGTGAGACACACGCCGCCGCCCACGCTTCTTTTTTTTTTTACTAAGTTACGTTGGTTTGCCACGGGGCGTACGATGCGACGTAGGACTTCGAAGGTCCCTTTGTGGCTCGACGTCGTCGGCGTTCGACGTCAGCCACGCTGCGCCCTTCGGTCTCGTTCTACACCGCACTCCGTCGTGCGCCGTCTGAAGGCCGGTTCGCGCGTTTGCATTCGGGCATGATCGACTGCTTTGCAACCGCTTGTGACTGCTTGCGACGAGAGAAGACTAGTGTGCCTCTATTAAGGGGGGTTTCTGGCCGCTCGATCAAGTCACGTGGTTTATGGGCCGCGTTTGCGATACAAGCTGCGGGAAGTACCGTAAGCAGAAGCGGATGATGTTTGCGGGCGTCCACAGCCCTACACTCAGCCGGCCTCTCCGCCCGCTCTCCCCTTCCCCAAGCGACCACTCGCACCCGCTCGCAAGCACCCGATGTGCAGGAAGGGGCCGCTATTAAATTGCGGATGCTCTCGGTGGTCCGATTTGCTCCCTCTCTTAAATCTAGGCTCCCTAGAGAACACGCCGGCGCCACCTGTCGGGTTGCCGTGGAACGATCCGAGCCAAGACGAGCGGACTTTGGGCCCCGAGTGATGACCTCGCGAGATTTTGTGGTTTCATTAACTGTGTTGTTCCGCTTCTCGCATTTTCATCTGCGAGCATCTATTTGTTTGTGTTATTTGCATTATGGCATTGATAGATTTTTCGAGCTTATAAATACACGGTGTCCCCCAAAAAACATTTACGTTTTTTTTTTTTTCCACTGCAGAAATAAACAATGCATAGCGAGGCGCTCGTTCTCCGCACAAATGTGGTGCAAGCGGTCCGAACCAGACGCCACAGTTTCAAAACTAACCAGTATTTCATCAAAAATTTATAAGTGATTTTCTGGAAATTTCAGTGGGAAAATGGAGCACGTTTTCGCCCGTTGCTGGCGCCATTCGGCTCCATCTGTCGAGCACGTGTGATGCATAAAAGATGCACACATCTGAAGGGTTCCAGTGCATAGAGCCAGAGTGCCTATACACCTTTCCAAAAAAACACTCGGCCCTAGCGGCAGCAGACCGTTTTCGAGCCCAGTCACTGGATTTTGAGGCTAGACTCTCACCGGCGTCTCTGCTAACTGTGTGGACTGTGATATCGATAGGCGCAGTTTCAAACACTGCTGGCGCCCAAATTTTCATCTTTTCCCGTTGTATTTTGTGTTTCATGGTGTATGTCTTTTCCCGAGGACATTGAGAAAGCATTTTGCCACACCTGAAAAAACAGAAAAAGCAAAAAACAAAACTATAGACCTTTCCAAAAAGAGCGCTCCGGCCGCCGCCATTTTGCGAATCGAGCGACCCCTATCAGCAAGAAATTTCTGGCGCCCGCCTGAGCTGTGGAAACCCGGTCAGCGTGACTCCCCACCTGCATTTTGCATTCGGAGTTCGCCGGCTTTTCTTGGAAGTTTTTACTTTATTCGCCTGTTTAGGATGCTTACCCTTTGTATGTTATCTTCCACTGTGAGAACCAGGGATTACCAGGGCTCGTAACTTGCTCGGCCTTCGCAGGAAACGAACGAAGAGAGCGAACGTCAAGCAGCCCGCGGCGCAGGCAGTTCGACGTTCTTGGGGGATTATTTCCGTTGAGATAATCTCCAAAAAGCCTTCCCGGGTGTGTTCCGGGTCTTCGCGAAAAATAGCTGATAGGGTCCGGTCCGGGATGTGGCGACAGAATAGACACGTTCGTTCATTTGCTTTGAAGCTGTGCAAAACAGCTGCTCTCTTCTACATGTTCCCCAAAACACGCCGGATTCTGTCCGATTGTCGTGAAGTGACTATCGTTGACACTGTATATTATATACGCTGTGTTATTTGAGACCTTTCTCAAATCCTGTTCGGATAACGCGGCACCGTGGGGTGCGTACAATATATGTTGTTCGATTGATCAGACTCATTGAATTTCAGGTTGTGGGCGGGGAATATCCTTGCAGTTCGGATATATTGTGTGGTCAAATATTTTGACGTATATAGATTGGCAAGTCTGAGTGTAAGGTGCCGTAAAACGATGAACATAAAATAAAACAAACATTCCAGTTGCATTTGTTCTGTCACGCACAGACTCACCAAAACAGCTTTCATTTCTTTGTTTTCGTTCCCAAAAATAGAGTACTGCTTTTTAAATACCTCTATAAATTATGTTCGCCACAGAACACGAAATAAAAAAAGAAAACGCGGCAATTCAGTCGCTGCCAGTGTCCGGAATTGCGCCTACGCAGGCTGCCACAGCTCACGGACGAGAAACTCCACAGCTCAGCGCAGTCGGGCAACACTGACGTACACTCTCAAAACCAGAGACGCGCGCTGTAAATCGCTTCGTTCGAGACTGCCGCTGGAAAGGTCTATAGTCGGTGACAAGTCGAGAACAAAGTCGAAGCTGCTCCGCATCTTTCCACTTTAGCAGAGCGAATACTGGACAGGATTTTGCCTCCTCTCCATTATTTGCTCTGATAAAGTGGAAAGAGATGGGAGGAGCTTCCACTTCGTTCTTGACGTGTCACCGACTATAGGCTATTTTTGTTGGGTATGCGCGCGACAGAACAAATGCAACTGGAATGTTGTCTTTTTTTTTACGATAAGTTTTGATGGCGCTGCCCCATAGCCGCATGTCAAATGACAAAGCGTTTAGCTGTCGAGAATAATTTACAAAAGAAGATAGCCAAAGGCGCGCATTTTTCACGCTCCCAATAATGTGTTTACCGATCGACAGGATACGGGTTTCAATGTTAAAATACAAGTTTTAACATTGAAACAATATATTGTACGTACCACACGATGCAGCGTTATCCGAAAAAAAATTTATTTGAGAAAGACATCAAATAACGCAGTCACATTCAACGACATTCGCATCTTGAGGATCGGACAGAACCAAGATGACTTCGTTTTGGGGCACGTTTTGGGGAGAGCTTGCTTTTTTCACATTAGCACTTAGGCAAAGGAACGGGTGCGACTGACTCCAACCGGAACAACTATTTCTGGCTATGACTGAGAATGGCTCTACATGGATTATCTCTGGGAGGGGGGAGAACAGTTGTCATTGCTCGCAAAATCGCGTCGAGGGCCGTTCGACGTCCCTCCCCTCCTTCGTTTCCTGTGAATGTTGAGCAGAAACGCTTGAATGGTAGGCACTTACCAGTCTTATTCTTCACAGTGGAAGATAACTTATGAAAGATTGCGCAGCACGCATAAGAAAAATTAAGTGGAAAGTTTCAAGAGGGGCCAGAAAACATTGAATGTGAAGCCGCAAAACATAGATAGAGAATTGCGCTGAGCGGGTTTCCACAGTCCAAGGGACTGGCAGAAAATTCCTAGCTGATAGAGGGTGCATGAGTCGCACCAGCCGCATCAGCATCAGCAACATGGCGGCGGCCTAGGAGCATTTTTTTGGAAAGGTGTATAAAGCAGACGAAATCTGTCGGCCCGATGGGTTTGAGATTTCGAATGACGTGAAATGCCTTAAAAAGGTTTCAACTCGATTTTGAAAGCTCCAGTTCGATAATGTCCGTGTGGCGCATCTCTCCGTGGCAGGACCTAAGCCACAACGACCTGCGGGAGGTGCCGACAGACCTGGAGCGTGCACGGGGAATCCTGGTGCTCAACCTGGGCTACAACAGGTGGGCGACAGGCCTGTGCACAAGGAGGCTTTAAGGGCAAAAATGCTCCATATCAAAAACTGGCAGTATTTTTAAAAAAATTTGATTTTGGGTTTTGTGGTGTTTCATTACTTTTTATACTTCATATTTGATGTATAAAAATAATTAGTGCCGGTTATGATCGCTAAATTAGTCAGATGAGCGTTTGAAGACCTCCAGGCAACCCAGAACGGCACGAATTTGAGCCATTTTATCTGAGCTTGTTTCCTCGAGTTACGACGTTGCCCGCCATCTTATTTACATTGAAAAGTAGGCCTAGCCATCCTCTCTCCGTTGCAGTCTTTTGTATTTTCAATTTATCACAAATTGATTAACAAATGTTATTTTTCGCACCGCAGAAGAGTATTGCTACACATCTGTGGTAACATTCTGATCCTTTTTTTGTTTTTATAAAATTTTGGTGCATCTTCACTGTTGCAAGAATTTCTGTTCTTAATATTCCCCTATCACAACCAAATTTGGCATGCATATACATCTAGGTTTGGTAGGAATGTTTTCTTTTTTTATATATTTATGAAAAATTTAAGAATTGTTTGTTAGCCAGCTGAAATAGCATTTTTCCTATTTTTTAATTATATTAAATGAAACAAGTGTTACATTATTTTTGCTGTTCAGTGTACTTTGTGGTTTAAAAGGAGCAAATTGATTTATTTTATTAGGCTTTTCTAAATGTGCAGCCATGCCTCACGTGTGCACAAGAACATTGTTTTATCTGCATGCACATTGCATCGAGAACCTAAAAAAACAAAAGAAAACACGCTATATTATATCTAATACCGAATTCATAAAGGGGAGATTGAACAGTATAAACTGTAAAAATATGATTTCCACATCGCAAATAAAAAAAAAAAAAATTGTTTCCCCTGGCCAAGTCCCCTTAAAAAAAAAAAAATCTGAAAAGAAAAAGAATTAATTTAAACAGTCTGGTTGGGACAGACATCTCGCGTTGTCAGTATTGCTCTAAAAACAAAAAAATTTTGCATACAGTTAATTTTTTTACACGCGTCTGTCCTTACTAGAATTTAAAAAAAAAAAAGTTTTTTTAGGTTTTTTTTTAATGTGCAGAAGGTCGCACAAATATTCTCCATATATAGACCTTTTTTTTGAAAGATGGCAAGAGAGAAAAGCGGAAAGGGTTAGCGATGCTTTCCCCCTAACTGGTTAGTTCGAAACGAGCGGAAGACCCGGCCTTTGTCTTGTGTGTTGCTCCAAGTTCACTTGTTTTCTTTGCGGTTTCCTTCATTTCTTTACTTCCAGGTTTAATTAGAGCTATTGCTTTCATTGACGACAATCCCCTGATCATAGGAACACCATTGTTTGGCAATAAGCTGCACGAATAATAACTGAAAGCGCAGAACGTTATCGGAGGACATCCGTTAAGCACACGGGATCCGACAAGGCAACTGCGGCTGCCGTGTCTTCAAACTCGATTGCTTTGCAAATGGCCAAGACCTCCGGCGGCAGTGAATGCATCCGTAATCCGAAAAGACTTTTTCCCCGACGCCATCCTCTCGAGTGTGCTCTGAACATTTTGTGAATGGAGCCCTCACCAAACTCAACTCTGTACCATCAATTAATATGGGCAACGCGTGCAAGGCGCATGCAATTTTTCTCGAAAAAATGGCAGTTTCAGCTTGTAACTTTTCGTAACTTAACGTATCTTAATGGTGACATTTTTCCGTGGTGGCATTGGCTCGATTTCATCGTCTACAACGCTTAGTTGAAGGCTCATTTCTGCCACCGGGTGTGGCTTGAAGTCGTCGAAAAGTTCTATTGGTTTTCCTGAATCGCAATCTCTTGCGCGATACCAGAGAGCCGTGAACTTGACCGTCACAACGCGACTGGATCCTACTTATTTTGAAAATTCATACATAGCGTAACTGCAGTGATGTGATTGCTGCGCCAATTGCGCCAAACTGCGCCAAGGGGCTAACCCTGCTACATCCTGCTACATCCTGCTACATTTTGCCAAAATATGGGTAATCTGCGCCAAGCTTGCGCCAAAGAACCCTTTCAAAACCGAAACTAAACTGATAACCGTAATTGAGCATGCGTGAGCTAGGTAGCGCAAGCGGCCGCCCGACACATCGTCTATCCGGTCTTGCATGGCCTTTCCCGCCGTCTCGCGTTTCGCGCTCTCGTCGTCCCTAAAATCTTGTTTCGCGTCTTTTTAAAAAAAATTTCAAGGATAGACGTGGGTGAGTGTGGACGCTCCGACGTTAGTGTGCTGAGAGTGTCTCTCCACATCGCTGCAGATATGGCGCTTTCTAAACTGAAACGCATCGACATTACTGTTCTTTTTAGAATGATACGCTGCTACAAAAATCTCTATTTAACTCAAACATTGCCTGGCTCAGTATTGATTATTTAGGTTTCTCTCGGTGGGCTTTCTTTCAAGAGGGACCCCGGTACGTTAAGAAGTCTGCCGTGACAGAAAGTTGCTGAAGTGAGCTAAAGCAAAGAAGACAATGTTTGCACGCTGAACCCGTACAGCGCGCTTGTTTGTTACGAGTTCAGTCATTGCACAAAGCGTTCCAAGAACGTTTTGACCCTGGCTCGCGATGTCATACACCGATGCGCCCAGGTTCTTTTTTTCTGTGCGTTTAGCCTGTATTTCACCTGCCGGTCTGGCAAGCACGCACCGCTGGACTGTTTATTGTTGTGTGCTGGGCAGTTACATTTTGCATACTATTTTGGAAACCAGTTGGCGACGGAGTGAAGTTGCATGGCTTCGGTTTCGATTGAGCAGCCGTTGCCTCCGGGCGCGCGACGATGCACGCGCAATCGCAAGCCCGCCGAGGTTGCCCTCACATGCATGTGAACATGATTGCACGAAAGAGGCACCATCCGGGATGCTTGCAATCCATTGTTTTACGTTTGCTTACTTTTTATAAAAATCTGGCACGTCGGGAGCCAGTAAAACGGTGGCAGGTGTTTTTTTCCGAATTGCTCGGCAACGCTTGCAGCACTGTATACTTGTGGGATGTCTCAGCAGTAAAAACACAAGCCGCGAGTTCCGTCACAATACGTCAAAACACAACACAAACTGCCCTTCGTTTGTCCAGCACTTAAAACAAATATTTATTTTTCTAAGAATATCTGCTCCAAAGGCCACTTTTTCTGCACCGAAACACTGTTTTGGCTGCTCCAAAAGTGGCTTTTGTTGCTCCAAAACACTGTTTTGGCTGCACCAAAGGCCACTTTTGCTGCTCCAAAACACTGTTTTGGCTGCTCCAAAAGGTGCTCCAAAATGGCTTGGGCCAATCACATCACTGTAACTGTAAAGAAAACTTAAATTTCTATTGCTGAAACATGCTCTTGCATCGACTTTGAAACGTTGAATCATTGATCAACTCGCTCCGGCAATAGACCCATCTCGACTTCACTGTTTTCAGTTCTCGACAAAAAGCACGCTCGTCGACGCAGGAACCTCAATTAAAACTTTAATGAACATCTGCAAGCCAGATGGAGCTAGCTCCCTTTGATTGTTACCTGCACTGCTCTTATTTCACGCGTCCTTTTTCACATTATATTTCATTGTTGTGGACGACACGAGACGCCAAAAATATTCTCGGCGTACTGCATCTAAAACAACGAAAAGTCTGAAGAGAAATTCAGTCGCTTTTAACTGATACAATGTTTTGAGTACTCGCCTTCGGCTTATATCGGTGATGCGTTCAGTGCTGCACTTCTCGGCATCGCTGCACTGGCGGATGCCTTAATGCGGGGCAAGAAGCATTTCCAATGAGTTGAAAAATGCCATCCACGGCACACAAGAACACAACACGCGCCCTAAGTCGGATGCCCAACGCTTCGGAGTGCCAACAAGCACACCCATTGCGAGAGTGGCGTCCCGAAGGGCACTTTCGCCAACGTTTTTAACCACTTGGCATGCCCGCAGAACCTGTGACGCTCACTAGATGGCGCCACAGTACTCAAAATGGCTCTGTCCATGATGAAACGGTCAATGTGGAGCAAAGTGTGACGGAAGAAAGCGTGGTCACGAAATGTCCCCTCAGTGTCTCTTCCAATAGGAAGACTCCGTTAATGGGTGCCGCCGTGTAAATATGGGGCAAACAACTGTGTTTCCATGCCATCGTCATGGCAATGCGGTTGTTTGCTGCAAAAGCTAACCGTAACCGCGGGCAGACGAAGCAGACCACGGGCACCGAGGAGATACATCTCCGTGCCTGTGGTCGACCGAGCGGTGAGCAGGCGATCGGAGCAGCGTCAATGTATGGGGCAGCCTGGGATTGAGTTCTTTTTCCTGGGAAGTTGGAATCCCAAGTGAGGTGCTCGCAATATGATGGAGGCTTATTGCTAAGAAGGCGCTATGCAACCAATGTTTCAATTGCACCTCAAAAGATCCCCGTGCCGTCACTCTAGCACACCCCCTTGGGGGGTGTGCTAGATGCCTTCCATTAGTTTGATACATAAAACCCTCAAGTTTGAATTGTAGAGGTTCCAATCCTTTTTGTGTTTCGTTTTATTCTATACTTAGAAACCTATGTTTCCAGTGAGGCCTCATGATCCAGCACTACAAATGTCTTGGCCAGGGTGTCGAACCGGAACCGAACCGAACCGAAAACCGGAACCGAACCGTTATTTTTAGCCGAACCGGAACTGAACCGAACCGAAATCTTCGCCGCCATCTTGGAACTGAACCGGAACCGAACCGAAAAAAAATACAACGGTAACCGGTTCAAAACGGTTCAAGGTATTCTTTTTTCGTTTTTGTTAGTATCACAAAACGAGCATATGGGAATATGAAATTGTCGGCTGTATTTCTATCTATTGTTCGAATTGTCACATACAGAATTGCAATGTATGGTAAACTGTGGGTTTTCGTGGCGCTTTTGTACTGGCACTATGATTAATCATGTGTCACGTTGTCACGTGACGTCATGGTGTCAATACATGCTGTCAAGTAATGTCACGGGACCCTGTGACGTCACGTGACT